TTTTCATCGATGGTGGTTCTTTTCACACTCTGCAGTCAGTTTCGCAAAATATCCCCACTAAATCTCGACCTGCACCCTTGAGAAGGTGAGTGTCACACGAACTTGAAACACCTTTGATAAGACACAAAGGGATGCGGGTGGCCCTAAACTAGAGCCAGTTGATTGAGCATGAAAAGACAATTTATTCAATCATCGTACAGTCCTGGTGATGTTCACAGTGATGGAGCTCCATTTCGGCGTAGCCGGAGGACAACACTTGGTTGACTGCAAGAACATCAGAACCATGGAAGGACGAAGTTCTGACGAGTGTTGCACAGCAGTTTGGTATTGCTCAGAGCACTGCTCCACGTGCATATTGTTCCATGCCAACTGTTGTTGCTCTGAGACGAAGAAGTGGCCGACCACGGTTAATTGCAACATTAGATGCCATGAAAAGGAATCCAACAGGCATGAACATATGTACATACCTCGGTCACCAGCTTTTGTGGCACAGTTCTAAGGTGTCGAATGACGTAATTTCGCAAGATGTACCGAGCTCCGGATTTTTGAGGCAGGGTAAGCTCAAAGACATCAACTTTGTTGCTTACCTACGCTACTTTTATGTGCTTATCTTCTGAGATCGCTATGTAGCTGTTCTGAGCGGAGCTTTGTCCAGATATCAACGGCAGGCCATGAAGCACCGACAACAACTACGAAGCACTTTTCGTAGTTGTTGTCGGGGCTTCATGGCCTACTACAGGTCTTCACGCCTGTACTGAACGAAGCGAGCAATGTTACGATGCATTCTATTTCGATCTCATCAATCGTCACTAGTGCGTGCACCGCCGGCAGTTGCTATCGACGCACCCAAAGGGTTTTTTGCTCTCAGAGATGAGTTAACATTTTTTAATGAATCTTTTTGATTGGATTTACTGTAAATTCCTTCTGCATCTTCTAGTGATTTTTTGCTTACTCCTGCTTGCTTTCGTTGTCATTTTTAGAAGACTGATAATCACTCCTTTTGCGTATCGCCGTCATCGGTTCTCAGGGATTCATCTACTTATATTGATCTCCCGCCATCAATCGAAATGCCACGACCACAAGGGTGTCGTTCAACCAAAAAATGATTCTCCTTTCGACTCAGGGACACTACCTGTGAGAGCGGTGGTGGTCGCTTAATTGAAGCTGATCTTCCAGTCCAACTATTGATTCTACTGTAGAATCGCCATACCTACCCCTTCGTAGGCCTGGTCTTGGTGAACCCAATGACAGGAGTACGATTTCACAAAAAGGTCAATGAGTGCTATCTAACAGCTATTTTGAAGAGGAGCAACGCCTCGTCACAGAAGGAATGATGCATGCATCGTCTCTCGCGAAAGTTCCTTGAGAGCTCTCTAAGGTTGTCGAAGCTGAAAAAGAGCACGTATTGAGTTATACAGTCTTCCTGGATCGCGCAATAACATGGTGCCATCATCCAAGCATTCAATTTGGAGGGGTGAGCAAGGTTTGCAAAATATCCGGTAACTCAGACTCATCAAGCACACACTAAGGTCTACTGGTCTTTAATTTCTGAGCGTTAGTAATGGCCTTAGATCGTGTCGACAATATGTAGGTGGACCTCGGCTGAGTTGACGGACCTACTAAGCTGGTATCCGGAGCCGCATTTCACTCTACTCTCGCGACTTGCAGTGTTGGCGGGCCACTGCTCTTCGAAGCCGAGTGTTCCACCTCTTTTCCTCTCTCTCAGCCTTCCCATCTCTTTGCTATTTTACGATTTCTATTGATTTATTTATATTATT